TGAGATTAAAGAAAAAATGTTAAAAAAACACAGAATAGGCTGATAGACAGTTACTTACATCAAGTCAGATAGCTGTTTTAAACTAATAAACTAGCTGTATTTAGCTAAGGTTGGCTAAGTATATTTCCCACCAAGAGGAATGCATTACTAAATAGTAAAAAGGAAAATGGCCATTCTTTTTACCTTAATTCAGTATCATTTAAATTTTTAACTACACTGAAGGAAAAAAAGCCTAACAACTCACATGTGATCTTTCAAATCTATACCTACACTTCACATATCTTTGAAAGGAGATATATCAAAATATTAAAGCACAAAAGAAACAGTGTCCTCCTGCAAAGAAAATATAGTCTCAATAATTTGTCATATCTTGGGCATCAAAACAATATAGTGTCACAAAATTAGGATCTTGCCTCATGTGTTTTACTCATTTTAAAGAAAGCTATTTGTCACTTCAAATTACATCAACATCATAAAACACAACAAACAAAATGTCCGATCATCTAAGCAGCAGGTAAAATCCTGTATTCTAAAGGAGAATGCTGCGGAATAATCCTCTGTGCATTGTTATGTTGCTCTCATTGCTAATAAAGACCTGCCTGGCCAATAGGTAGGCAGTATTTTTGGGGCAGCGAGAACACTGGGAAGAAGAAGGGAGGAGTCACAGGAGTCTGAGGAGAGACTCCATGAGACATGGAGCGAGCAGGATAGGAAGTACGTACACGAGGTAAAGAGGCCTCGGGGCAGACACAGATGAATAGAAACACATTAATTTAAGTTATTAGAGCTAGCTAAAAACAAACTTAATCTATCACTAAAGCATCTATAACTAATATTAAGTTTCTGTGTGGATATCTGGGACGTGGCTTGTGGGGCAGAAAAGTCCACCCACAGGAGAAGGGAAGAAAAACAAAACAAATACATAAAAAATCACTACATAAAGAAGCAAACTAGGTTGATTTGTTCTTTCTCCCTAAAGATAATACTTAGGCTTCAAATAAAGGTAAAAATTGAAGGTAAAAATTTATGTATTCTTATTCATTCATGAACCAAGTGAATGTGCAAAGGTCATATATATTTTAGATAATGGATATTAAACAGTAGAAAAAAATTTTAAAAATCTTGGCCTCAAAAGATTTGTATTCTAGAGGAAGGCACAGTGGCCCATACTTAGGGCTCTAATACAATCCAAGCTTGGCCAAACTTAGAGACAGAAAGGAAGGCAAAGCTGGAGCTAGCAAGCAAGTGGAGGGTACAGGAGGTGAAATCAACATAAAACCAGATAGTGCACTTGTGGACCATAATAATACATTTTTAGATTGCATCCTTGGATCATAGGAAGCAACCTTGTGAAACTCAGTGTCTCATGCTTTCTGGAAAACTGTTATTAGAGATCCTATCCATTATATAAACCAAATATTCTTCATAGAGGTCAAAGGAAACCTTTTATTTATTGCTCGAAGTTGACCTTTCCTAAGCAACTAGTATATATCTGCCTCATGCACGTTTAAATTAAAAAAAAAATCTTGATATTGTGGGTGTATACATGATGTATGTGTGTGGAGGCACATGCCACAACATGTGCATAGGTCAGAGAACTCTGTAGTGTTAGCTCTCTCCTCCACCTTTACCTGGGCCCCAGAAATCAGACTCAGGTCATCTGGCTTGCATAGTAAGCACCTTTACTTCTGAGCCATTTCCATGACCCTTTCATGTGCACTTTGAAATTATATTCTCCTTTATCCTATCCTTGGAACGTTAAAAAACTGCAAAGTTCGATCTACATTTAGCTTCTGGCAGCTGCATAAAACCTTATGGTATCTATTTTCTTTTAAAATAAAAATTTCAATTTAAAATAGTTATAAATTTACCAAAAAAAGTGAGAAAGATAGTACAAAGTGTTTCCATCTACCCCCACCCATTTCCTGTCATGAGCATCTTATATAACAGCTTACCACAATTAAAAATAATGTTATATTATTATTAGTCAAAGTCCAAAATTTACTCAGATTTCCTCAGCTGTTACTTCTTTCATATCTACTGTAGTTATTATTATATAACTTATTAGAATCTTATTAGAAGCTTGTTCTGGTGCTACCTTAAATCTTTTCAAAGATTGCATTTAAAGAATTAGACAAATTCACAAATCTTATAAATGTTCTTTAATCTTAACAATAAGCTATAAACACTTAACATATCTAAATAACATAGTACAGCTTTTACTTATTCAATAATAAATATTTTAAAAATAAATGCCCATTAGATACTATTAAAAAACATTCTTTTATATTATATATTATATTCATTTATATATGACAAGATGTAATGTGTAGTGATATTTTGCTTGTAATCTAACAAAGAGTTCAGAGCTAAGCCACTAGTTAGCCACAGACACCAGACAGTGGTGGTGCACACCTTTAATCCCAGTACTTGGGAGCCACATGCCTTTAATCCTAGCACTAGGGAGGTTGAGACAGGAAGGGAAATGGCTGGGAGGAGAGAGGACTACAAGGCGGGAGGAGACAGGAGCTCAGACATAGTCTGAGGTAGTCAGTCTGAGGACAGTCTGAGAATGCAGTCTGAGGACATGATCTTCCTTTTGGTCTGAGCACTGGTAGGGGTAAGAACTCTAGTGGCTGGCTGCTCTGTTTCTCTGATTCTTCAGCCTTCACCCCCTGATAACTGGGTTTTTATTATTAAGACAATTTAGAATTCATGCTACAGTGATGACAAATGCTTATAATCCCAATGCTCAGGGAGCAGAGGTAGAAGGATCCAGTTTAAGGTAGTTCAAGTTATCTGGTGACTTTGAGGTCAGCCATGGCTATATGAGACACTGTATTAAAAAAGAAAAAATTCCTTGGTGTGGGATTCCCCTCTGTATGCTGTTAATAGGTTTTATTACCATTGGTTAATAAAAGGCTACTTTGGACTATGGTAGGGCAGAATATAGGTAGGTGGGAAAGCTAAACTGAATGCAGGCAGAAAGAAGGTGGAGTCAGGGAGATGCCATGTAGCTGCTGAATGAGAAAGATCCCAGCCAGCCACTGAGGAAAGAAGACATGTAAAAAAATGAGGTAATGCCACAGTCACGTGGCAATACACAGACTAACAGAAATGGGTTAATTTAAGAAGAGCTAACTACAAATACGCCTGAGTCATCGGTCAAAGCAGCTTCTTATTATCCAATGGTAATAAAAACGGCATACAGAGAGGCATACAGAGAGGAATCCCATATCAATTCCTTATTCAATTATCAATGAATTTAAGAAACCTATTAACTTATGGGCTAATTAATGTCTAGAAGGGTAGAATGAACTAAACTGACATTACTGTAGTTATACAATATACATGACAATCACTGGAAAATGGTTTAAAATTTAGCTTCTGGCAGCTGTATAAAACCTTATGGTATCTAGCATACCTACCCCGAGCATTACAATGCCCACGTTCCACCCCATGATCCTATTTCAATTAGTCTGAGACAGGGACAAAGTGTTGCTTTTTTTTAATTGTTTGTGAACTCAGACAATTATGTAAATTATGTAAATAAAAAGAATCCCTGATTTGCTGCATGTGAGACATATAACTGGTAATCGCCAGTTTAATATAAAAATACTCCTCTCTGGCATCAAAGCTTTTAACTCTATTAAAACTTAAGGACTGTGGGGAAAAGAAAGAGAGAAGACAAAAGGACTTTTTAGATATCATTAAGTCCTAATAAATATTTCCCTTTAAAAATGTTGAAGCTTGAGGCTGGTGAGATGGCTTAGCAGGTAAAGACACTGCTGCCAAGTCTGGCAACCTGAGTTCAATCCCTGCGACCCACACAGTGACCTCTGTGTAAGCATACAATGGCAAGCCCCACCACTGCAAGACATAAATGAAAAAAAGTTGAAGCTAAAATCTTGTCTTAGACTTTGTTGATATAGCTTCATATACTGTATAAGCAGAAAAGTTGTATTGGTTTAACTAATTATGGACTAAGACTTCATGATGGATGGATATAAACACTGAGGTGTTATAGGAGGCTGCTCACTCATTCCCAGGCACCCCAGACTTGAAATAACCACACAGAAACTGTATTAATTAAATCACTGTTTGGCCTATTAGCTCTAGCTTGTATTGGCTAGCTCTTGTATCCTAAACTAACCCATCTCCATTCCATTGGCTGTGGCTTACTGGATAAAGTTCCATCTAGTGTCTGGCATCTGTCTCCGGCAGGGCTACATGGCTTCTCACTGATTCTGCCTACTTTCTCCCAGAATTCAGTTTAGTTTTCCCAGCCTAGCTCTATTCTGTCCTATTACAGGCCAAAGCAGCTTCTTTATTCATTAACCAATAAAAGCAACACATATACAGAAGGACTTCACACACCACTGATTGACGAAGGCAACAGAAAAACCTTCGACTAAACCAATATGTTTCACAGTCCTAAGATGATGTGTTTGTCAGGTTTTTTTTTGTTTTTTTTTGGGGGGGGGCACTGTGCCAAATACCCAAGACAAACCTTTCAACTCAAACTTTCTGAGGCTTTAGTCCATGACTGGCTAGCTCTATTGTTCTGCCATGGCAGTAGCATCTGGTGGAACACAGCAGCTCAGTGCATGGCAGAACACTGAGAGACTAGAAGGGGCTGAGGACAAGGTCTGCCATTCCGGGGCATATTCCCAGTGACTTACTTGCTCCAAATAGGCCCCAGCTGAGCTCACAATAGTGTCACCAACTAGGATCAAGCCTTTGCATATGAGCCTCAGGGAAGCACTTCATATCTAATCAATAACCGATGACTCGAGAATACAGCACAAGGTTCATCACAACCATCCAAGGTTAAGCGTGAAACAAACAAAAGCTAAAATGCTTTAAAAAGTCATATCAAAACCCAAAAGACATACATAATAGAGAAAATTATAGTGTTCATTTTATAGTTCAGCATTTAAAATATTTTTCCTTGAAAAGAGGTTTTTCTCTGACTAAACCTAGAAGTTAATTCATCTTACCTTCGACAGAAGGTGCCTGGTCCTGAGCTGAATACAACATATCCTTGAATGCCTATCAGAAAGAAAGAAAAATAATACATGAAATCACAAAATTAAGTTGTACTGAAAGCACATGAGCTAAACAATTCTTTTTTACTATTTAGTAACCATATTTAGTTTTCTAAATTAAAAATTTAGTGAACTATTTCAGGTAACTTTAATAATCCATCCCACATTGTACAATCTTTAATGAGTGTTCATTTATATACTTTACAATGAAAGGGCAACGGAAAATGAAGACACACCCAAAAGATCAAAAACACTCTGGATTAAGAAAAATGTGGGGAATAAAAGAGATTGCGTGAGAGGACTGACGGCGGGTGGGGATGGGAACATGAGCAATCAGGCTAGGGGGGAGCACAGGGAAAAGTACTGAAAGAGACTACTGGAGGTGGGGGCATTTCAGGGTCGGGTAAAAACCTGGCACAAGAGAATCTCCCAGGAAGTTACAGACTTAGCTAAATGACCCCAGCTAAGACTCCTAGCAACAGCACATACATAGCCTGAATTGGCCATCTCCTGTGACCAGATTGGTGCCTAGCCCAATTGTCATCAGGGTCATCATCCAGCAACTGATGGAAACATGCAGACCCACAGTCAAACATTAGGTGGTGTTTGGGAATCTTGCTGAAGAGGGGAAGAAAGGGCTGTAGGAGCCAGAGGGGTCAAGGACACCATAAGAAAACTCATTGAACCAACTAACCTGGGCTCACAGAAACTGAACTGACAACAAAGGAACCTACAAGGGACTGATCTAGACACTCTGCATAAATAGAACAGTTATGTAGTTTGGTCCTCTTGTGGGACTCCTAACAGTGGGAACAGGGGCTGTCTCTGACTGACTCTTTTACTGCCTTTTGGGACCCTACGCCTCATACTGGGTCACCTTGCCTAGCCTTAATACATGGGAGGTGGTTGGTCTTACTGCAATATGATATGCCATGTCTTATTGATACTCAACGGAGACCTGCACTTTCCTAAACAGAAAGCGAAGATGAGTGGGTTGGGGTGTAGGAACAGAGAAGAGTGAAAGGAGAGGGAAGGGAAACTGTGGCTGGGATGATAGATAGATAGATAGATAGATAGATAGATAGATAGAGCGAAGATGAGTGGGTTGGGGTGTAGGAACAGAGAAGAGTGAAAGGAGAGGGAAGGGAAACTGTGGCTGGGAAGATAGATAGATAGATAGATAGATTTTTTTTTTAGAAACAAAAAAGAAAAATACCCTTAATGATGGGGTTGGCTCGGTGGATGAAAATATAATTTCAAACCTGATGGCCGGTGTCAATCCCTTGGACTCAAACACTAGAGAGAACCAACTCCTGAAGGTTCTGATCTCCACATGGCTGCATATGCACATGCACACTAAATAAATAAAATTTAGTAATAAAAAGGTCCTAACCACTGGACCACATAGTAAAGTGCAAAAAACTAGAAAAAATCTGTAGCCTGAGCCGGTCTACAAATCATGGCAATCATGCCCTGCCTCCTGAGTGCAGAGACTGCAAGCTTGAGACACCATACCTAATCCCCAGAAATCTTTCTATTTTAGATATAAATGTTTATTAGTGAAACTCTAAAAAGCTTAGGACTATAAAAAGAACAAGGATTTTATAGTTTTTCTCCCCCAAATTATACAGTAGATTAGCTAACAACCATATTTAGGTAATTTGGATAGTTACAGTGTAGTTTCTCAATAAGTAGGTTGGGAGCTGGACTAAGAAGCATTTCTCAGGACAGAGATGAGAGACAGCTCAGCAGGTAAGTGCTACTGCTGCCAAATCAGACAACCTGAGTTCAAAGTCAGGACCCACACGGTGGAAGGAGGGAACCAACTTCCCAAGCTGCCTCTTGACTTCCATAAATGAACTATGGCGCATGCTTCCCTGACTCCCCCTCCAAAAAAAAAATAAACAAATGTTTTTTAAAGAGAGAAAGAGCACTAATTTAATGTAAAGAGAGCTTCCCATATAAATCAAAATATTCTTCAACCCATTAAGTAGATAAGGGATGAAGAACTAACCATAAACTTAGTGACTTTAACCACTTCAAGTTTTAAATACAGCTAACTACTGCCAATTCCCAAACTGGCATATGACTGAGCTCTTCAACCTTAATATAAGTGACATTTGGGGCTAAATAATTTAAGAGGAAGAGTTCTCAGCATCTCTAGTGACATCTAGAGACACCAGCATCAATCTTCACCTCCCAGCTGCGATACTGTTAAATGTCTCCTGGCAAGCAAAATCGCGCTTCCCCAGAACCACCCACCCACAGTTTTCAAGTATATAAATACAGAAAAGGAATAAATAAACCTCTAGAGCGGCCCATTCTCTTTCAAAAGTATTCACATCTAGCACATTATAGTCTTCCCAAGTGAATTTACTATTTGCTTTGTCTTAATAATTAGTCTGTTAGTTCCATATCTATCCAAGCCTAACTAAAAGATCTCTAACAAAATAAAAAAAAGTTTAAAATTCTTAAATTAATCCATCTTTGTTCACTTTGTTTTATAAAAGTATAAGAAAATTACCTATATTAAAACTTTACTTGTTTAAATGAAAAAATATTCAGTAAGATTCACTGTATGCAATTTGAATAGGCAATATAATAAAAAATAGGTATTTGGTCTTTAAAGTCCTTGGTTGGCACTCATGAAACCTTTAGAATTTACTGACTTTTACATACTAAAATTGCTCCAGGGGTAGGAATTAGAGGAGAATCTCAAACAGCTTCAGAATGGAAGCTAACCAATGAAAACAATTGACTACAGGGTTAAAACTTTCGGTCCTAGCTCTGAATTTCTGGGGAGGGCAAGGTGTTGGAAATAAGTTCAATCGCCTCCCTATACATAGTCAACCATGCCTGTGTAATGATATCCCCCAAATGTGTAGAAAAGAAATGGGCTTGAGGAGGAGGAAGAGGAAGTAGCATTGGGGTTTCTTTTCCAGGTTCTAGAAAACTGGAAATTGCTAGTCATACACATAGATGGATGGGGAGGATGGTTCAACTTGTAGATTCTTGCCTTTCTATTGGTTTACGCTGATACTGAGTTTCAACTGGACAAGTGCCTAGTGTCCTCAGAGCTGTCTGCATAGCAGCTGTTGTGTGTCTCAGGGGTCCAATGTGGATCATGTTTATTTATGTGGCAAACTTAGATATAATACATATTAAAAGATGGTACAGTAGAGAGCGGGACGTCCGTCTTCGGGTCGCAGCAGCGTTGGTGGGGTTGATCACCCGGGAGCGAATTAAAAATGGGTGACGTTGAGAAAGGCAAGAAGATTTTTGTTCAGAAGTGTGCCCAGTGCCACACTGTGGAAAAGGGAGGCAAGCATAAGACTGGACCAAACCTCCACGGTCTGTTTGGGAGGAAGACAGGTCAGGAGGCTGGATTCTCCTACACAGATGCCAACAAGAACAAAGGCATCACCTGGGGAGAGGACACCCTGATGGAGTATTTGGAGAATCCCAAAAAGTACATCCCTGGAACAAAAATGATCTTCGCTGGAATTAAGAAGAAGGGAGAGAGGGCGGACCTAATAGCTTATCTTAAAAAGGCTACTAAGGAGTAATTCCAGTGCCTTATTTATTACAAAACAAATGTCTCATGACTTTTAATATGTACCGTAATTTAATTCATACCCCAAAATTCAGATCATGAACGGCTAACAATTTTTTGTTGGACAGTCCTGATTTAAGGAAAGCTGACTTGTAGAAAAGTGGATATGATCTTTATTAAAGTAACGATTCCAGTTGCATAAAAAAAAAAGATGGTACATAGTATCTTCTTTGATCATAATCTAATGAACTTAGAAATCAGCAAAAAATTAATAAAATCGCAAAATTCATAAGATGTGAAAACTGAACAATATTCCCTTAAATAACCCATGGATCAAGCAAATCACAAAGCAAATTAGAAATAGAAAACACACATTTATGAGACATAGTGAGAGCAGTTGCAAAGAGGAAAATTTATACCTACAAAAGCTAAAAAAGCTCAAACCAACAACCTAACTTTACAACCTAAAGAATTATAAAAAGAGGAACAAACTAAATCCAAGGCTAGCAGAAGGAAATAAAATTATTAGAGTAAGTAAATAACATAAATGGGAAAACAAGATAAAATCCAGTAAAAGCAAAGATGCTTCTTTGACAGTTTCAATAATACTAGCAAATCTTTGACTAAGTAGATGGAAAAAAAACCCAGAAGTTAGCAAAATCATAAATGGACATGAGAGCACTGCTTCAGGTTCTATAGCAATAAAGGGGCTATGGAACACTATAAACAACTGTGTACTGACCAGTAAGATCAATTCCTAGAAATTTATAAAAATATACCAATATTAAATCATGAAAAAAAAACAGAAAATCAGAATATATATAATGTGTAAGAAAGCTGAATTGATACTAAATCTCTTCAAATATTTATTAAAAAATAAAATAAAAAAGAACACAGAGAAAATTTCCTAGTTCCTTTCTAGCCAGCAAAACCATAATATCAAAGCTAAAACAACATTACAAGTGACTAAAGAGATGATTCAACAGTTAAGAACACTGCCTCCTCATCCAGAAAACCCAGATTCAATTTCCAGCACCACATGGTAGCCCATAACTGTCTGTAATTCCAGTTCCAGGAGACCCAATGCCCTCTTCTGGCCTCTGTGTACACTAGGCATGCATGTGGCAGACAGACAAATATGCTGGCAAAAATACCCATACACATTAAAAAAAAAGAAGAAAAAGAAAGGAAGGAAAAAAAGAAAGAAAGGAAGGAAGGGGAGACTACAAGAAAACACAGCAGATGAGCATCTCTTATGAAAGCCATGCAGACATTCTCAGCAATGCACTGGATGTATAACTTCAGTGCGTAATGCTTGCATCGCATGAATAAGACACTGGGTTTGATTCCTAGCAGCCAAACATATCACACACACACACACACACACACACAAAATGATTCAGAGGACTTCAAGAGGTTATTTCTCCAAATAAGAGATACAAAGAGCCAAT